GGGGGGGGGGGGGGGGAGCTGGTGAGTCTAGGAGGATATGGATAGTGGTTCCAACACTATCATGTGGTTGCTGAGCTGTCTATACTTGAAGTAGATGCAGCATGTGGCTAAAGTCCTGCTGGGAGGTGGTGGGCCTCTTGTTTTCCCTAAAATATGTCGATAGATTGGGTGGTGTACACACAACCTGTAAGTTAAGAATTGGAGATTCTGACATTGACATACATCAGAGAGGCAGAGGATGAAGAGTTGTTAGAGTATTGTGTTTTGAGTTTTGTACAAATGAAATTGTTTGTTTGATGCACCTTTATCATTTACACTAAACTAGCATCTAAAATCTGTTGAGGATGATGATCCCGTGTGACCTATACGTCTAAAATCTGCTATTCAACCTGTCATTAATCATAAGTTTGATAAAACCTGTTTTTAGTATGTGATGATTCAAACATTGCCTTGGTGATGATAACTGGATATGTAAGCTTATAATTTTTGTCAACAGTTGGTTTGAAATTGGCGTGATGGAGGAATCATGTGAAGGAAAAGGGGTATTGGTTGTGCTTGTGTTAGAATCTATATTTTAGTACGGGGAATTGGATTGTAGTTACCGTAGAGGTATCCATGTAATAAACTCTAGATCTAGATTATAATATTTTTTGTTTTCTTTCTTAGCTGGATGTTTGCTGGTCTACAGTGGTGATGAGGGAGACGGGGTTTGCACCATTGTTGACTATTAAAAATTGTAATTTTAATTTTTTTTGGTGTAATAAGTGTAACTAAGGCAGAGCATGAATCTATTAAATAGTAATTCGAGTGCACGCTTGCATGACTCGACACCTAGTATCTGACTGTAACTATAGTCCTGATGGCCTTATAAAAAAAAAGGAAACTATGTTTCCTGATGGCTGATGAACTTCCTAGGTTTGGGTAAGAAGATGAAACTTGCTGAAGTCACTCACACATGACGTTTCAAATTCTGCCCTGAAGTTTCTCTTTTGTAATTTAGGTAGATTGTAGTTCTTTTTATTGAATGGATTTTTCATTTGTTCCCCCCCAAAGTGGGAAGTTTTTAATTCTTGTGTTTCCCCAAATATTTGAAAGTTCTTACTGCTTCAAAGTTCTGTAGCCATGTCGTTTTTATTCAGTCTCTTATTTCTGCAGGATGTAGAAATGTTGAGCGGTTTGAATTGGGAAGTGACTGTTATTGATGACTGCCAAAACTTAGGAATTTCTGCTGGTGTGGAGCAAATTAAAATGCTTTCTACTGGTCTAAGGGTGCTTCTCTTTAATGGTCCTATGAAGGTATCTTCCGCATCTTGCCTTTTTCCTTAATAGAACTGCTTTCATTTAATACATTGTCCTTACTAGACCCTCTAATTTTAACAGATCACCTCATCTGAGTACATTAATCTACTCTCTTTGCTCCAATGTAAATTTGGTTTGGACAAGAATGGTGGCTTGGCATCTGATATCAATGACCATCTTGGAAAACTGAAAGGACTCTCAAAGGTTTCTGCACCTTGCAGCAAGCCTGACTCTTCCAAGTTTGTGGAGTATTGGGTTCCTGTTCAGATGTCTGACTTGCAGCTCGAGCAATATTGTGCTACATTACTCACAAATTCTAATGCTCTTCGCACTTTCTATAAAAGTGATCCTGTTGGGGCTCTCCGCGATACTCTTCTCTCTTTGCGAAAGGTTAGGTGTGTCATTTCATTTGACATTACTACATTTTTGGATGATGGTTGTGTTGTTACCATTTTCTTTGTTCTGTTTTCCTTTGGAGGTGGGCAAAGGTGATTGGTTCTAGCGGCAGTGAATGTTGAGAAAAAGGGAGTTTCTAAATAGAAACATTAATCTTGAGGATAGTTAAATAACTAGCTTAGTGGCACCCAAGAGTATGGCCTAGTGGTGTAGTAGCTAATGAAGTGGGAGGAGAATCTCAGGCTCAAATACTAGAGGCAAAAAAAAAAAAAACTAGGTAATTTCTTCCCATTTGTTCCAGCCTTCGTGAGTAGAGTCACTTGGTACCTGTGCTGGTTATCTCTAGTCGAGGTGCACCGGAGCCGGCTCTGAGACCACTTTCAAGAAAATAGAAAACAAAAAAAGTTTGCTGAATGGCACAATGGAAGTGAAAAGCACTTTTTTCAAATTAGGATTTACGTAGAACTGTTGGTGTTCCATTTCCATAGACAATATTAACTTTCAAAGTTCATCCTCCTGGCCAAAAGTCATTGAAAGCCACTCCTATAGTGATATTTATCTGAATTATATGTTCTTGCTTTTGTTTGTAGTGTTGTGATCATCCATATATTCTGGATCCATTCCTGCAACCCTTTAATAAGGGGCTTTCTCCTGCTGAAATTCTTGAAGTCGGAATAAAAGCAAGTGGAAAATTACATCTCCTTGACAAGATGCTCTCAGAGATGAGGCTCCGACAGCACAGAGTGGTTGTCCTTTTTCAGGTATGTATTTCCTGTATCTTGTCCGAGGACTGACTGGTTATTCTTAGAATCATATTTGAGTTCCTCTATAGAATGGATCAAGTAAGATAGACAAATGTCAGGAATAGGATGAAAATATTTTCTTAATTTTTCTTTCATCAAAGGAATAGCAGGTCCAATTAATTCACGTCTCAAAAATTTATGAAATAGTGAACTTTCAACTAAATAAAGCAATATACTCCCTCCATCCCATTTTATAGGAAGGTGTTTGATGGGATAGAGAGTTTAAGAAATTAATCAAGACTTTTGAAGCATAAGCTAAATATATGCATTTCCGTATCAAAAAATAAACCTTGTTGAGCATTGTCAAAAGCAAATTAGAGCATTTTAAGATCAAATCCATTCGAGCCCAACCAATACATATTCTTTCTTTATGAAGAAAGCAAGCATATGAATTGGACTAAAAGTTTAGTGGATAGAAAAATTGAATAATTTCGGATAGTAAAGGGCATCACGACCTTTCCCCTTCTTGAAATAACAAATCCAATTTTCGTTTCATCAATTGCATGAAAAGCTAAAATTCTTTTTGTATTATCCAATTATGATCAATCTATTGACAAGTAACAGCTAAAAAAATTCTAAATTATTTTTGGCATATCCAATATTGGAAGTTTATGAAACTCTATATTTAAGATGATGAAATAATTCATGTAAAATACTTTGATATTTCTAATCTATACTATATTAAAAGCACGAAGACCCTTAGCGAAAATGTCGTCCGCCTTTTTTACCCTTCTAAAATAGATTTCACATTAGACAAATATGTACTAATAAGCTATTTTCCTAACATTTAGGACTTTAAAATCAACTAAAATTTGGTTATTAAAATCTATCCTTATTGAATTAGGTAGAAAGGTCCTAATATTAAGGACTTTAAAGTCACAAATTATTTCTCTATTTGAATTATGTAATATAAATATAATACTGTACATGTTAATTTTTGAATTTTAAAATCAACTCATAGGCAAATTATTAAAATTTCTAAAAGATCGAGAAGATTCAACACCAAATTAACATGAGTCCGTACCGCTAGTATCATATTTTGATACATAAATAGTTAATTAAGACGTCTAAGCCAAAAATAAATATATTTTAATATTTTAAGTATATTTTATATATGCATATTATATGGTGAGAAAGATAACAAATGTGTTTCACTTGATTTGTTATTCAATTGGTTAAATCGCCTTTTTAACATTTAATAACTAATAGTTGATTTTGAAGTTCTAAATAGTATAAAAATAATAAAATATAATTTTATTCAATGGTAAAATCTATTTTTAAAGGTGAAGATGGATCAACATGTCAACTGTAATACATCCAAGTTAATTTTTTTAATATTTAAGATTTTAAAATTAACTAAAAATTTACTTATTAAATGCTTATTTATTTGAAGTAGGTAGGAAGTCTTTAAAATCAATTAAGATTTCAGTTTTCATATCTAAATCATTTCATTATTTGAACAGCGTTACATAACAGCTTCAGAAACATATAGGGCCAACATTTTCATACACAAATCTTTAAAGAAGCATGATTAAATTATTTTTATATTTTATTTCCAGTATTAGGTCGCAAAAATAACAACAATTTTCATGAAATATTTTCACATAAGTCCTCATAAATCACAATAAGTTATCTTAACTTCTGAGGGAAATGACTTCTTCATATATTGAACTTGCTAAATAAGAACGTTCATCATTTTCAGGAATTTCTTTAATTTTTATTATATATTTTTAAGTAACTCAAATACATTATTTAATAACATTTAGATAATGTTATCAGATAACTTAAATACGGATTTCTTAATTAAAAAAACTTGTGTGCTCATTAATATGGTTACACGCTCAAAGCGCGTACTGTAAGACTAGTATTTAATAAAAATATCTTCTAAGAGTTGCTCTAGGGATTAGAGAAAACAAAGGATTATGTGCAACAATAATATATTCTGCAAGTTGAGGACTTTTACTTGTGGTAAAAGGTTTATGTACCTATATATTTTGCTAATTAATTACTGTCCGTCTTTTTGTTATAATTGAAGGTTTTACCAGTTTAATTTATACTCCCTCTGTCCCAATTTCTGTAAAGGTGTTTGACTGCGCACAGAGTTAAAGAAATAAAGGAAGACTTTTGGAGCTTGTGGTCTAAAACAAACCATAAATATTTGTGTGGCTAGAAATCATCTCATGAAGGGAAATAAGGAAAATATAAAGTAGAATTGTTACTAAATATAGAAAGCTGTCATTCTTTTTGGAACTGACTAAAAAGAAAAGAGCGTCACATAAATTGTGACGAAGAGAGTAGCATACCTTGAATAGTACCTAAACTAGTTACCTTCCCAAGGATTATAATTTTTTACCAGATGACGATCTAGTGTTCCCCTCGCCCCTCCCTATCTTATGTGTAGTTTTGCATATTTTACATACTAGCCTATATTGATTGGGAATGAGATATGGTCATACCTTTAACCTTAGAGGTTCTCTCTTATAACTTCGTTGTTTTTACTTGTAGCACCACTAACACAAGTACCAAAATCTTAGTTGTGTCATCATAATCTAGTGTATGATCTAAATCTATATTTCTTGTAATTTCAATTCTTCATATTTCTCCTCTGTAACTTTGACATTTTCCTTTTCTACCAATATTAGATTGAGAAGAAGATGTGAAGCAAATAACACAATTAGAATTAAAACATCACAAAGAGATGGAAATTCAGAAATTGATATAATTGAATGAAGTTTGAATTGACTCGTTTCAAGTTGCTTTGAAAGCTAAGAGCCTTGAGAAGTTTTGAGATTGAGAGAGATAATAGAATGATAGAGGTGGTGTGATTTAGGAATTTAATAGGTGGGGGTATTTATTAAAAAAAATTGGGGAGCCTATTTGCAATTCTTGAAACTTAAAAAACAAAAGGAGGCGAGGGGGGAAATGGTTTGATGGCCGTGTGGGAGAAGGGTGAGGGATGTGAGTGGGAGGTGCAAAGTGGAGGGCGCATAATGGTCAAGTCGACAATTGGGTGGGGATATTGGGATCAGTGTAGTCAAAAGCCAAAAGTGCAGAGATCACCCGCGCCTATTGAAGCTTTAGGCGCAAAGCGCAATAAAAGTGTGGGTTTTGTCGAATAAATGTGTCAATGAAGAACAAAATAAATTAGAAATGCAATGCACAATAATGTAACTATAAACATAAAAACAATTATTTGGACACAAGAATGAAAACACTTTAAATGTGCTATATGTATGTTGTTTTACCTTAAAAATAGAACGTAGCGGTGAAAGCTCCCACACCTTAGCACCAAAACGCCTACCTAAAGCGCCAAAGCAGAGAACTTGGGCTTCACCGAGCTTTAGGGTTTAAGTGCGTCTCAAGCAAGCCTTTCAACACTGAGTATGATTTTTATGTAACTGAGCCGGTCCGGTATGAGTTTGGTTCTCATTTCACATAACTGGTCCCGGGTCCAATTCACGATTCAAATTGGAATAGTTTATGCCTCTTACTTTAGGGGTTGATCTGGTTAAAAATGGGCCGGGCCGGGCCGGTTAAATGATCCAATTTTAGAGATTAGGGGGCTGGATTATGGGTCGACCTAGACCCTTGAAAGGCTTATAAATAGCAAAAAAGACAAGGAGAATAATGTTGTTCAAATTCATAGGAACATGAAATGCTGTGTGATAGCCTGATAGGGACTTGATTCGTACCAGATCATGTCAAAGGTTGGCTGGTGCTTTGACATACAATGGAGGGAAGATGAAGAGAAGACTTTGCTCAATATAAGAAGGAAGTGACTACCTATCAACTGCAACTCTGTTCGAATTTGTTGTCTCAGGTCGACTTCAAAAAATTTTCTTCTTAGTTTGGCTTAGTTTTTGAGATACATGATCCTTTCCTAGGGTTTGATTGTGGCTGTGGCTGCGGCTGCGGCTGCATTTGTGGTTGTCCCTGTATGTGTTCTTTTGTTAGGATGATACGAAGAGAATCCGTTATGTCTTGGGCCACCAACTCTGCGTTTTCATTGGGTTTTTAACTTTTAGTTTCTTCTACAATTTGGAAAGAGACCCAAATTCTTTTAGAATGTAGTGGACTTGTCTGACCCTGACCCTTTCTCTAATAAAGGCCTATATCGATTATTGGGTCTCTTCTCTTTTCCATTTGCTTATGGCTCCATCATTAGATATCTAAGTTCAATAATGATTCAATGTAGCTGTTGAAGTTTAATCATATTTTGAGAACATTCAATTAATTAAAAACCAGGTTTATTTAATATTAAATCACAATTACTTTATAACGATATGTGAAATACAAATCTGATAACAATCACACATTTTTAACTAAGAAATGAGATGTTTTTTGAATACTCTAAGTAACTAATCATCATATATATAATATTTATGCATTTTCAAATCCCAGTAACTACACTCGTAGCTTATCCATAGCCCTGAACCTAATATTTAAGTCGCTGCAAATCTGACACTTTGGATCAGCACCTGTATCAATGCCATGTAGGTCAAGCAAACATCTTAAATATGACCACCGTGAACGGGCTGTTCTCTGGGTTTTAGGCTTTTCTTTTTGTATACGGTTTGCATCCCCCTTGAATGCTATTATCCGAGGCACCATTTAACTTATCAAAAAAACAAACGAAAAGAACTATCATCCAACTACCTTAAGAAGTTGTAGGGGTGCTGCCTCGGGTTGTTTCTAGAGATTCTGTGCCTTCTTTACTCTTTAAAAATAAATTTCACATGGTTCAACATTGTAAATTAAATTATTTTCCTAATATTTAGGACTTAGTTCTTTATTTGAATTTTGTATAAAGTCCTAATATTTAGGAGTTCAAAATAAATTAAGATTTTACCTTACATAATTTCTTTCCTTATTTGAATCATTAAATGTAACTATAATACATTTCATATTTAGTTTCTTATTGTTTAAGATTGTGATATCAACTAAAATTTTATTAATTAAATCCTTACTTGCTTCAATAAACTCACCTAATCAAAATTGTACTCAACACTTGCACGTCCTATGGTGGTAAGAAAATCTAGCTGAGCATCATAGAAACTATTGGGCTAATTTATGTTGTAATTTAAAATTATTTAAATTTAAATTACCTTATATGAATCAACAAATTTTAACGAGTTACTATAATGATAAGAACCAACAATAAGTCCTTGAATTAATTATTTGCCAAAAAATACAATACAATTATTTTTTCAAATGCATCTTCTGAGTAAAATTATTTTTTAAGTTGACAAAACTCTTAGATACGTAAGTTTGTTTCCATAAGATCAAGAGAATTGGTGGTGAGCAGAAGTCTGTAAAAGAGGAAATCAGTTATAGTATAGTGTTAAGAGTAAATTTGATTTAAATGCAAGTTTGAAGTAATAGGAATAAATTTGTAGACCAAATTGTATTCTAATTAAATTATCATTAATTATTATTATCATCATTATATTCTTGCATTCACTCCAACAAATGACAACTCGATTTTTTTTGTTTATAGAGCTAGCTAAATGCAATTAACATTCATTATATTTAATTATATTTAGGAACTTACAATTTCTAATTTAATTTTTATTTTATAACTCAAACACATTATTTTCTAAAGTTTATATAATTATTTACACATTGATATGGGGACTTGCGCAAAGCGCATACACTAAGACTAGTATATATATACAATTCCATCCTCTATAGATAACGCAAGAGAGAACTTATGACCTCGCGGATGGAGAGAGATTCGAACCCCCAGTATTTCTATAAATATGTCGGTTTTCAAGACCGACTCTTTCAACCGCTCAGACATCCATCCTCTTTGTGCTTCGCCCGCCCTATCCATCTGTGCGCGGGCAGGTAGGGGCTTATCAATGTGATTCGCTATGCTTGTCTGCGCCTATCTGCTGATTCTATTGCATGCCGGTTAGCAAAACTTCTCCGGTAGTACAAATCGCTACACTTCTCCTCTTTATATGATAATGTGTGCGCGCGCGCGTGTGTATATGTTTGCATGCGCACGTACACAGATAAACATACACGATAAGTGGGCCTGCACCCTGATTGATGTTCTGTGGAAGTGTTTTGTCACTTTTGTCTTTAATTTCTTCGTCTGATTGTGAAAATCTTCGTTCCTGAATGCAGTCTATTGCTGGCTCCGGGGCATCAATTGGTGATATTCTGGATGATTTTCTGCGTCAAAGATTTGGTGAGAACTCTTATGAAAGAGTTGAAACGTGTGTTATTCATTCCAAGAAACAAGCTTCTCTTAACAGGTTTAACGACAAGAAAAGTGGGCGCTTTGTTCTTTTATTAGAGAATCGTGTTTGCCATCAAACCATTAAACTGTTGTCAGTTGATAGTGTTATTATATATGATAGTGACACAAATCCCACGAATGATCTGAAACAACTCCAGAAGCTGTCAATAGATTCACAGTCTAAGCACACATATGTTTTCCGGCTGTATTCAAGTTTTACTGTAGAAGAAAAAGCCCTATTCCTCGCTAAACAGGACCTGAATCTTGATAGTAACTTGCATACCATAAGTCGGAGCCCCAATAACACCCTTATGTGGGGAGCCTCAAATTTGTTCAGTAGATTGGATGAGTACCACTCTGGAGGCAGTCCGACCTTAATTTCAAATAATTCATCAGGGCAGTTGCGTTTAGATGATGTTATTAGCGAGTTCTCTGCAATAATTTGTAAAAGCTCAGTCTACAAGGACACATGCCATTCCATTATTTCAAAAGTTCAAATGAGCATGGGAACTTACAGTGCTAATATCTCGCTGTTTGGTGAGAAAAATATGGAGTTGAAAGTTGGAGAAGAACCTCATGTTTTTTGGAGAAAGCTGTTGGAGGGAAGAAATCCACAGTGGAGAAATTTAAGCATTGCGACCCCAAGGAACAGAAAGAGAGTTCAATACTTTGATGAATCCCCAGATCCACCTAATGGAAATGATGATATAGGAAAGAAGCGCAGGAAGGCGGTAATGAACCATAGTGTGGATGCAAACCCCACTCACCCCACACCTGAAAGAGGTGAAATTGCAGCTCCCAAAGGAGGTATCACTTCATTAACCTATTTTCAATATATTTCCTGTTAGTGTTTGTTTGTTATTCCGTAAGATTAAATATGTCAAGAAATATCAGCTGCTGATTCTTGGTTAGGTCCAGGTGTTCATGAAAATGATGGTATTGGTGCGAAGCATGTTTCTAGGTCTCCGTCTCATGTCTTGCATGAGGTAAACCTTGTTGGGCGGCCTGAAGAAGGACGCATACAGCAGAAAAGCCTTCATATTCATCTGAAAGCTGAGTTTGCAAAACTGTTTGAAGTGCTAAAACTTCCGGTATTCATTTCCTGCCTGCCCTTTCTTAGAAGTTATAATTTTTTGAGTTATATGTTGTCTTTGGAGCATATACAGGCTCTTTGATGAACAATGAAAAAATTAGAAATCTTTGCTTGTCCAGATTAATCATAATGAGTGGGTTTTGGAAGGTCATATCTGAATCTGTGAAACATTTGTTATGTATAAAAGATGAAGCTCTTCATTTTAGGAAATCATACCTTTCATATTCATGGCAAAAGAGTTGTATGCATTTGTTGATAGCTTCTAGTGAATAAGTGTTATATTAACCTGTCAAAGGTTTAATCTTTTTGTGTATGAGTCCTGGTCTTGTGATTGCCTCTGAATTAGCAATTTTTCTTTGATTAAACTCTCTCTTCAAGTAGATATATAATACTGCAGTTTTTGGCGCTATGGTAAGCACCATTACATTCTTTCTGCATTTGCGGTGCTCCTACATCCAAACCTGTTTAAATCTTGGAAACCTAGTATGGTCGTTAAGACCTCCATCGCTCTGTGCTCAGGGAGGGGTAACTGCCCTAGTTAATTTGCCAAAACGCAGAGAGTGCTACATCTATTATGTCAAATGGTATAGGACATGTGTAGCATGCGAAAGGGTGTTCTTCATTTGCTTGTGCCATCTGTCGTAAAGGGGTATGTCCTAGTTGTTAAATGGGTTTTTGTATCTTTGTTTTAGTAGCTTTAAGTTAAGTAACAAAGAATCAGGAATACATGAATGATATGCATCTTGCATTTTTCATCTTGGGAACTCTACACATGACAGGACAGTGTGCTGCTGTAGCTCTTTCTTCTAACACTTGCAGCATCTGCTTTTTTGAGACCACTTCAAAATTAGCCAGTAAACTAGTTCATCTTCCCATAAAATGGGTAAAATTGTTTCTACAAAACTAATCAAGGGCACTAACTTTGCTATTTGGAACTTCTCTCATTGCTGTCTTTGTGATAAAGGGCAGCAACTTTATGTTTGTGTTTTATTCCTCAAATTTGTGGATTTTACAGAACTCCAATAGTTTAGCTACTTTGAGGTTTTATTTTCTTATATTTCTTTTATTATCCGAAGAGTTCTGCTGCTAATTCTACAAAGGCTGTCATTGATTTCTTATGGCTCTATTGAACGCCTTCCACCTGGTTCTTTGCTTAGTGTATGCTTTTGATTTCTAATTGTTTCCTTAAATGGGGTTTTTCCTAAATAATGTGCCGTCTTGTTTGTTTTTATCTACCATCTCATCCTGTAATTCAATCCTCATGACAGTGGTTTATTGTTAGTATCTACAAATCTTAATAATAATACGAACCAGGTTCTGTGCCACTACCAAATTTCATACTGCTAATTGGTTATATCAACCACGCTTCAAGCTAGAACAACTTGGTACTCTATGTAAATGAATAAAAAGGATATTTTGCGGAATGATTGCCATAGTTGTGGCTTTTCCTGCTTGCAAGCACTCCCTAGTATAATATACCAAAGGAATAGGTAAGCCAAGGCTTTTCCTTCTAGTCTTTTGCTTGCTGGCCAGATAACCAAAATTTAAATGCAGGACGATGTCAAACATACTGTAGAAAAGTTTCTGGAATATGTCATGGAGAATCATCATGTTAGTAGGGAATGTGCAACAATTTTACAGGCTTTCCAGTTATCTCTGGTTAGTATGTTCTTGCCTCACTACCCATATCATCTGCTTGCATCCTTTTAATAATATTATTTTGTCAGTGGAATTTATCCTTCTCTTCATGGACAATCTTAAAAGTTCAGGTGAAATATAATCACGTCATAATAACTAGGAATCCTAAAAAATGAGGTACTTTTTTGTTTCATGCAGCTCAAAGTTCCTATATAAGGAGCCTGTTATTAATCGTAATGTCAGTAAGAAGTTTTGTGTCTTATTTCTTCTAGTTAAACTCGGTATCGGAGTTTCTACAATCTTGGTAGAAATCTAAGTAGCTTCTTTGGAGGCCGCTCGACCAAAGTTTATTTTCACTTTTTTAGTTTACTATCTTTGTTTATTTTCAATGATTCTTTCAGGGAGACTACATCTCTTGTTGTGTCTGTCTTTGGTATTCTTTGTTCCACTCACTTCTGGTTCATCTTGTCAAGATGAATACAACAGTGAAAATCTCGTCTCCAAACTCCGCATTCGCGGCTCGTGTTTCTACTGTCTCACTTTGACGTATCAGTCCAGTTTAGGTTTCAAACCGGCATTCCATATAGGGGTGTGCATTCGAATCGGTTTATCGATTTATCGATTTCGATTTCAAAATTTTCCTTATCGAGTTATCGATTTCGATTTCGATTTTGTCCTCTTCGGTTATCGGTTTATCGATAAACCGATAAGATATACTAAAAAGGCAAAAAAATTTAATTTTTTTTAATTTTTTTTTTACCCTCCTTTACCCTAAGTCCCTAACCCTATTATTTCCTCTACCACATTTAAGGAATGATCATATTTAAAGCTCAAGGGAATGAAGTTCAAATTAATGGAAAACAACATTAGCCGTGATGATGTATTTTGTTTTTTTTTTTTTTTATACCGTTGGAGTGTTGGTGGCATACGTTTGATCCCTTACTTTAGTTTCGTTGCATGAGCTTGTTGACACAATTTTATGTTATAAACGGTGTTCATCTTATTTTAGCTTCTTTTTGTCCATATTAGTTAGGCGTGTTTATAGCGATATACTTTCCGTGGAATCCCGCAAATTTTCTTATTGGTGTAATCGATAACTGAATCGATAAGCCCCAAAAATCGATAAATCGAAACCTTATTGAAACGATAACGATAAGCATATGTACAAATCGATAATCGATATGTAATTATCGATAAGGGTCAAAATCGAATCGATAAATCGAATGCACACCCCTAATTCCATATTTGTCTAGTTATCACTCTACATCAACTAACCTGTCGAGTTAATAGTATATATTAATTGACATATCAGGTCTACTTTTTCCTATTGCCAATGTCACTGCCAAATCATCGCCTAGTCAACACCGTGGTTTGTCAGATCCCATTAAGCTGGCAGTATGCATGTTCTCGAATTCAATCATGTCTTATAGATTGATGGTAGTGCTACAGCCAATTTAGTTTGATGTCAAGGTCAAGTCTTATTAGATTATCATTAAATTAGCATTCAACTTTATCATATATATTTAGTGTGCTTCTTGCTTCAAGAAAAACATGTCGATGTGATTCTTCTTATTTGATGTTTACTGTGAATTATCAGTGTTGGGTTGCAGCTTCAATCTTAAAGCAAAAAATTGACAAAGAGGAGACATTCTTGCTAGCGAAGCAGCACTTACAGTTCGGATGCACCGAGGAAGAGGTAAACGGTGTTTATCTGAAGATCCGTTCCTTGAAAAAGATGTTCTTGCAGTGGTTGGATCAAAATGATAATGCTTCAAGTTCTTCTAAGTCTTTATTAGCTGCGCGATCTGTTCCAGAAGAGCCATCGAAGGGAAGCATGTCACAAGCTGTAGAATCTTCCCGGCTGAATGTGGAAAATGAAATGGATGAAGGATTTAAAGTTAAAAACTTATCCATGGAATGCATTGTCACGCCTAAAGAAGAACTTGTGGATATTGAAAGGGAAAAATTCATTAAGGAGGTCCAGTATAGATGTGACAGGCGAATGTCAAAGCTGGTACAGAAGCAAAAGGAGGAAATCAAAGAGTTCCAGAAAATATGGGAGAAGAAGAAGGAAGAGCTTGAGCTGGATTACAGAGTGAATTTTTCTGTTCTTCGGTCTATCTTTGGTCAGAATGCTGCAATAAAGGATAAACAAAAAATATTAGAAACTGAATTTTCAAGCAAAATGCAAGAGCTCAAATGCCGCAAGGACCAGCAGCTTAAAGAACTTGAGGTAGAACACACTGCTATGAGGAACAAGGAAATGCAAAAGGCTGCTTCTTGGCTGGCGGAAGCAAATTCCTTTAGGGGTGTTGGATTTAATCCTATAGATGACATAGGGTGCTCTCAGGAAAATGTAAATGTCTCTCACAATCGTCCCAAGGCTGTTCACCCTGTATCTGGACAACATGTTGAGGAACTGAATCGTAATATTGTGGATAGCACGCAGTGTGACATGGTAGCATCTGAACTACCTACATCTACTTCTGATGAGTCAGATATTCTTCCTATTGAAACTACGGATGTTTTAGCAACACCAGCAACAGAAGAGCAAGTTGAGATTGCATCCACGGCTGGAGTGTTGGTTGCTAGATCGGAGCAGCCTAATGAAGTAGGTGATTTAGGTGGTGGTTCAGAGGAATTTGGAGCATTTGGTGCTACATCTAATCAGCCTAATGAAGTAGGTGACCCAGATGTGCCTGCGTCTGCTTCCAACGAGTCAATTATTCTTCCTGTTGAAACTTCAAATGTTTTAGCAACAGCAGCAACGGAGGAGCAAGAGATCGCTTCCATGGCTGAAGCATTGGTTGCTAGATCCAAACAGCCTAATGAAGTAGGTGATTTAGGTGGTAGTTCAGAGGAAATTGGAGCTTTGGTTGCTGCATCCAGACAGCTTAATGAAGTAGGTGATCCAGATGTACCTGCATCTACCTCTAATGAGTCAAATATTCGTCCTATTGGAACTACAAATGTTTTAGCAGCACCAGCAGCAGAGGAGCAAGTTGAGACTGCGTCCACGGCTGGAGCGTTGGTTGCTAGATACGAGAGGCCTAATGAAGTAGGTGATTCAGGTGATGGTCCAGAGGAAATTGCTTCTGTGTTTCCTCTTCCTTCCGAAGAACATACTGAAGTTCCACTAGAGCATCCAACTAGAGAGCATTTGTTGGAAGTATCTGGAACGGGTGTTAATGTAGTTGTGGAGAATGATCATTCAGAAGTAAATAATGTTATTGAAGAATTGAATACAGAACATGGTAGTCTGGAAAATAATTCTCATTTACCAAATGATGAAGAAAACTCGAGAGATGCAGTTAGCTCCATTGATAGAAACCAAATTTCTCTTGAGGAAGTGGTAGTGGACTTGCGTTTGGCAGCAGCAGTTCCTACTTCTGATGGTGGTGGTTCTATACCTCAAAATCAAGTAAGTGCTCTTTGTCTTCCCAATTTATGAGGTGCTTGTGTTGTGTTATTCTGTAGAACATCTGGATTCAGAATCTGGACACAGGTATAAAAGCTCTCTCTAGGAAAGTTTAAAATGTCTCAAATTGCAAAGACATGCTCTTTTTAGATGTTTTGAGTGAGTAATTGGCAAGTGACTTTCTAGTTTTATTCCAAGCCGTAAAACAGGTAATTGGATCATTTTTTTCCTGGTGAATTGCAGTTCTACTATTCAAAAAATAATATGCGTGATTTGCCAAGCCAATGCTTTTTTTCCCGATACTTTGTAGAAATTTTTTGGCTGTTCTTTTATGGATGGTTTTGCACTTAAACTAGATCAGCTAAATCAGTACATATGTTTCCAGTCTTCAGGATATAATGAAACACTCCCTCATGAGATGCCACTCCAAGAAAATCAGAGTGGAACACAAGCTGATGTTGATGCGGGGCAATGTGGACCCAACAGTTCTGAAGCCGTGTTAATTAATAGTTCCAAGCAACAACAGCCAGCTTCTGATGGTTTTTCTCTTGCTGCTCACGAGCCACCAAGCGACACTGCACGTCAAACCCATGATGATGAAAGGAATTTTGTCCCAAACATTGTGTCTTCTCGTCATTTGGATGGAGAGATGATGGAAACTTTGCAGGCTGGTGGTAATTCGGGAGAGTGTCCATCTGTCGATGTTGAGATGTCGCCTCTGAGCTGTGATCGGCCTAATTTATCAGAAGTCAGTAGAGTGGATCCTCGACCTATTTCAGAACAGGGTTCATCTTCTAAGAGTACTGAAGCTTCTGTTCAAGTGCCAGGTTCTGCTGAGCTTCCTAGTCAAGCAGTCTTGCAACATAACACTAATGTTGCCTTCGTCCAAGGACCTAGGAATATACCAGTTCATCCTGCCCATCAGATGGCCAATTCGAATCCATTTCTTCCTTTCAATGCTGATCCTCTGCATAAAGAATGGGAAAGGATACATAAAGAAAGAGAACAAGCCACTAAGATTCTTGAGGATACGGTTAGTTCCAATTTCCTTCGTTGTGATTATTTGCTCCTAGTCGTTCTCTATTTTCTTCAAGCTCTTTTCCTCTTTTTGAGCAGAAATTGCGTCTGCGATCTGATTGCGAGAAGGCGATAGAGGAATTGGTTGCACAAATCCGTAAAAAGTATGATCTTAATCTTCAGGAAACTGAGGCAGCATTTTTTCGGAAGAAGAATGAACTTGATACGAGTCTGAACAAAGTTCTCATGAATAAGCTTTTGGCAAACGCTTTCAGATGCAAGTGCATGAATCTCAAACCTTCAGGGCTTCCAGGCATCCGTCAAGGTATATAATCATTGTTGGTTATGCATTGTTCGGAGAGTAGTTAACTTTTCCTGTCAGAATTTTGAACTGACACTTGTGTCCAGATATTATCTAGAATACATTATTATCAGGGTGATAAAAAGTAGTGCTAGTTGGCAATTTTTACTAGGTTATACAAGTCAGGTTTGTGATTTCTCAAGTAAAATTTTTCTTGTGTACTGAAGCTTATTTTTTTTTTTTTTTTTTTCAGTTGTGCCTTCTAGTTATATGCAGCATCTACATCAGGTGTCACAGCAGCCTAATTTGAGGTCTTCTCCTGTGACTGGTTCGTCTGCAGCTAGCCAGCAAAATTTAGCCCCACCTATTTTGAGAGCTTCTCAAGCCACCAGTTTGTCCTCAGCTGGCCAAGGACAGGTTGGACAGGAGACTTCTGTCCCCTCTTTGCCAGTTATTAATCGTTCAGTAAATTCTGGTGGGATTCCTCAGCCTGCATTTAGATCTACACCTGTTACCGGGTTGTCTTTCGCTGGCCAACAAGCACCCATTCAGCAGACAGCTGCTGTTAGTCGTTCACCAGCACTTTCTGCTGGAGTTCCTGGCAGACCGCCTCTCATCAGTGCAATTACCCCTTCCACTGGCAATCTCAGGGTAGCTGGTGAGATCCGTGCTCCAGCCCCCCATCTTCAGCCTTTCAGAACTCCTACATCCATGTCTACGAGCAGCCCCTCAACCCTTGCACATGGTTTGCAAAATCAACCGCTATCCACTAACATGGCTGCATCATCACCCGCACTTCCCCAACTTGCTTCTCTACAAACAACATCCTCCCCATCACAGTTAGCTACAGATCTTTCTACTGCGGTAGATCTCTCTTCTCGGAGTATGAGTTCGCAGCATGACATTGGCGAGTTGCCTGCTCCACAAAATCCGCCTATGTCTGCGCAGGAACTGCTTTTGAATATGGAGAATCGACCTCATGCAAACAGGCGGAACATTATGCCACCTCTACCAGATATGAGCTCTAACTTCGATTCATTGGACCTATCCGACTTTCAAACATTGGATAGTGTACAGGGAGGTTCTACTTCTTCAGCCATAGCTACTAATGTAACTGATGTTGTTTGTGTATCTGATGATGAGTGACTTGTTGACGATGAAGTTTATTTTGTTGTCTGTCGGTCAGCTTTATCATGTGTTTGTAAAAATGAATCAAAAGAATAATAATTAATTAAAAAAGAAAAAAACAGAAAGGAAGAGAAAGGTATAAGGAGGAAGCTTGACAAGATTACATGGGCTTGCATGTTCTTCCTCCCCCCCTTCCTTTTCCACTGTTATAGTTTTTGCCCATTACCCTTAAATAGAGAATGATTTCCAGGCCAGTGATACAAGATGTTAGTTTTCCTGCATATGTAATCTAAACACTAGTTAATGTGAAAATTACGTTGTCACTTTCCGAAGCTGATTCGGAACTGAAGAGGCGCATAATAGATTGGTATGAGAATCATCTGCTGCATAATAGATCGTGAATTTCATGAGTTGTCATGTAACTGAATAATCAAATCATTTTACAACCACTTAAGAAGGATCCTTCAAAATATAATTCACGAGTTGCGTAACTGAAAAAATCAATCATTTACATCCACCTGTGATTTGTGAAGGATCCTCAAAAGTTGAGGATTATGCACCTTGCTTCGTGACTACAGCAGTGAGACCGAGGTAATGAAAGTTTAGTTGCTGAACAAGAATAAATTCCCAGTTCCGGAATTAGGTCTCAAGTATGAATAGATGTTATCCAATCGTTTAGTTCCCAGTGAACACTTTATCATATTCTAAGCAGCATCTCTAAATTACTTTTCTTCCTGCGAGAATTGCTTATTGCTTGGGAAGAATGCGGCTAAAGAACAGATGCTATGGCCTAGGGATAAGTAGGTACATAACTCGTTCCAGTGAAGCGGGGAAAAATGTACGAATTATTCCAAGCTGAATAGCTAGGTACATCTTTTGTAGTTGCTTCATTATAAGGCCAATGGTGAAGCAATTATGGGATAGCTTCAGAGCTGCGACCAAGTATACCAACGGATAGCTCCCCTGCATGTGTATTTATGAGCTTAGGAGCACAATTTTTTTTCCTATTAATCTGGTAATTACTTTTGTAAAATCAGATCCTGTAGTGATATCAATTCAGGTAAAGCCAAAACTACAGAAATAACCCAGTGAAATCCCACTAGTGAGGTCTGGGGAGAGTAGAGTGTTCGTAGATCTTACCCCTACCCCAAAAGGGTAGAGAGGCTGTTTCCGGGAAACTCTCGGCTCAACAAGAGAGACAATAATATCAGAAAAGAAATAAGAGAAAAGACATGTAACAACAAGAGATGCCAGAAAGAAAATAACAACAACGCATACGTGAAAGGACAATAACACAAAACTAAGCAAAACAACAATAACACAACATAAACCGCTAACAAACCTACACGAAACTCTATCAGACTACCCAGTACAAAGAGAGAAGAACTCTCGACTATCCCCTAGCCTACCACCCTAATGCTCGACCTCCACATGTTGCTATCAAGAGTCATGTCCTCGGAAATCTGAAGTCGCGCCATGTCCTGTCTGATCACCTTGCCCCAGTACTTCTTAGGCCGCCCTCTGCCTCTTCTCGTACCTGCCAAAGTCAATCGCTCACACCTCCTAACCACTGCATCTAGGCTTCTCCTCCGCACGTGTCCAAACCATCTAAGACGCGCTTCCCGCATCTTGTCGTCCACAGAAACCAGACCCACCCTCTCCCGAATATCTTCATTCCAAATCTTATTCAGCCTAGTGTGCCCACACATTCATCTCAACATCCTCATTTCTGCTATTTTCATCTTCTGGATACGTGAATTCTTGACTGGCCAACACTCAGCTCCATACAACATGGCCGAATGTAAGGATAGACAAACCTCAATGGAAGGAGTAGGGACAGAGTAGCATTCTGGAAAATTTCATAATATTTAAAGTCCATTTAGAGGCTTAACAGATACTTAAAATCCTTGTTATGCGTGCCAAATTATGGTAACAGATAAAGTTATACTGTAGAAGCGTATAAAAGTATTCGTACTATGGTATGAAAGTGTATGAGTGCATATAAGTATGTGAAAATACTTGAGGAACCAAATTGAAAGTTGGAAAAGTGAAAGAAGTCCATGGCTTCAGCCACACCCCTCCATGGTGAAGTGAAGGATTTTTGTAAAGGAAAAAGGGGCCTTTGGATAGAATGTTCACAGCTGAAGCAATAGGCTATGTGGCTTCAGCTATGACTCAATGTGATAAGTGCTCCGGTTTTTTCACCTATAACTGGAGCAAGGAATTCTGCGGCTCCAATGATGCACCAAGGCAGTGAGGGCTTAAGTTTTTTTAAACTGTGAGAGGTTGACATTGGAGGGCCTACAGAGAGGTAGAGGTAGGCCAAAGAAGAGGTGGGGAGAGGTGATTAGGCAAGACATGTGTATACGATCGAAATCAGGTATGCCCGATTTCTCAGGCTCGAGGGTTCTCCTTAAGCCCGAATTCAGGATGGATCGAGTTCGAGCTCGATGGACCAGGCTCGAGCTCGACGACAGAGTACAAAGCTCGAAGAACTAGTTCGAGGAACGTTGGAGTCTAATATGACCAGCCTCGAGATAATGCTGATGGATTTATAACAGAATGAGCTAGATTCCTACCACGTCCCCAAGATCGCGACGTAAATCCCGGGATAGATTTGTACGAATCCATACTAGGCGGTTAGACAACCGTCCCAATAAGATTCTTACTGTAAATAGAAATGTACCTTATTTATGGTTCCCCTATTATATAAAGGGGACCCCAATCATTTGTAAAGGACAATCAATCATTGGCAAAGAATATACTCTCTTACATTTTCGCTCATTGTTCATCAGAATTGTCCTTTAGCTTTATTATTCTTGCTTTACTGTTCTTGATTCCTCTCGAGGTCACTTTGGCTCGAGGTCGAGACTGACCTACATTCTGGTTTGGTTTTACTTATTTCTTTCATTTCTACTTCAGATTTCTTAGTTATTAATTAGTATTGAACTAAATCACGTATCTTTAATTGTTACTCGTATTTTTTAGGTAAACAGTTTGGCGCCCACAATGGGGCTAAAGATAATAGTGATTATTTCAGTACTGATTTTGATAACATACGTTGTTTTCACACTTGTTCTTGTCAAGAATTCTTGCTTTCAGGTAAAAATATGTCAAACTCGCAAAACGCACCCGTACACGGTGATGAGGGTCTTGGGTTTCAGGGTAAAACAACAATGTAGGGGTCGGTGTACCACCGATTAACCCTGTGGAAGTGCCAAATGGGGAACCAGTCGATGTTAGTTCGCACATTGCTTTGGATGCGGATTTAGGCGCGGACCCCGGATGAAGTGTACACAGGGAAGCCCGATCTGGTGGCCAAGGAACACAAGATCTAGGAGGCGATCGAGTCAGCCTCCAAGTAATTTTCGAGATGCTACAAGCTCAACAGGTTGCTATTGCTCAGCTTCAGAGTCAGCACAAAACTCCAAGTATAGTCGAACCAGAGAACACTCGACGTACTGAGCCGATACCGGAAAGATCAAACGGTAATGGCTCGGGAATTGATCCCACAATTATGAGGATGATCAAGGAACTCGCCAAGAGAATCGAGTCCGGGGAGAAGAAGATTGAGGACAATGATAAGAAAGTTGAGACTTATAACTACCGTGTTGATCAAATACCAGTGGCACCCCTGGTCTTAAAAGGTTTAGATGCCAAAAATTTTACAAAAACCATTCCCTCAGAGCGCGGCTCCGATGCCCATTCCTAAAAAGTTTCGCATGCCCGATATACCCAAATACAACGGGACAACCGACCCTAAAGAGCATATTACCCCATACACTTGCGGGATTAAAGGAAACGATCTGAATGATGATGAGATTGAATCAGTATTGTTGAAAAAATTTGGGGAAACTTTGTTGAAAGGAGCCATGATTTGGTACCACAACTTGCCCCAAAACTCTATCGATTCATTTGCTATATTAACAGACGCCTTTGTGAAAGCGAATGCCGGGGCCATAAAGGTGGCGACGAGGAAATCGGACATTTTTAAGATAAGACAGAGGAATGATGAGATGTTAAGGGAGTTCGTGTCCCGATTTCAGATAGAGCGAATAAAATTACCACCGGTCTCGGATGACTGGGCGGTACAGGCTTTTATGCAGGGTTTGAATGAGCGGAGTTCGATCGCGTCACGATAATTAAAGCAGAATCTGATCGAGTACCTAGCTGTGACGTGGTCAGATGTACATAATCGTTACCAATCCAAGATCAGGGTCGAGGACGACCAGTTGGGAGCCCCCTCGGGTTCATTTCATCCTAATAGATCAACAGCTAAGGCCCCGAGGGACACAGACAGGGAATCAAGATCAAACAAGGAACGGTATAAGCCATATATCGATCGGAGGAACAACGGGTCGAGGTGCAACACTCCTCGAAACGATCGGAGAAATGATCGAGGTCAAAGTTCTCGGGGACTCTTGAGTAAGAATGGATTTGATAAACATACCGACCCTGCGGAAGCACCTTGACTGTCTGAGTATAATTTCAGTGTAGATGCATCGGGGATCGTGTCAGCAATTAGAAGAATCAAAGACACCAGGTGGCCTAGGCCTATACAAACTGATCCTTCCCAAAGAAATCCAAACCTGATGTGTAAATATCATGGCACACATGGCCATAGAACCGAAGACTGCAGGCAGCTGAGAGAGGAGGTAGCTCGGTTGTTCAACGAGGGTCATCTTCGAGAATTGCTCAGCGATCGAGCTAAGAACCACTTCAGGGATAGAGATGCAAACAGAAAAATGAGCAGGAGGTTCCTCAACACGTAATTCATATGATCGTGGGTGGTGTCGATGTTCCACAAGGGCTTGTATTCAAACACACCAAGGTGTCGATCACTAGGGAAAAATGGACTCGGAGCTATGTTCCCGAGGGCGTCCTATCATTCGATGATAATGAACCGGAAGGCATATCTCAACCGCACAATGACACCCTGGTAATTTCTATTTTGTTAAATAAAATTCAAGTTAAACGTGCTCTAGTGGATCCAGGTAGCTCAGCAAACATAATCAGATCGAGGGTCATAGAGCCTCCTTCAGGACCAAATCGTACCTGCATCTCGACTCCTAAATAGTTTCAACATGGCAAGCGAAACAACAAAGGGGGAGATAATCTTACTAGTGAACGTGGTCGGAACCATCCAAGATACAAAGTTCTATGTCATCGAAGGCGACATGAGGTATAATGCACTTCTCGGGAGGCCGTGGATCCACAACATGAGGGCAGTACCTTCGACCCTCCATCAGATGATAAAATTCCCAACATTGGATGGAGTGAAAATGGTTTACGGAGAACAACACGCTGCAAAAGAGATGTTTGCAGTCGAAGAGGTGATACTGGT